CATGTAGTGGTATTGGTAGATCTTTGGTCAGCATTCTGAGCAATAGAGTTTATATGATGAATATTCAAAAGAAGATCCGAATCAAACAGGTCACAGCCTTTCAGGTTACTATCCCACTCGTTTTGTTTATATCACGCCTCGGTCACAGCCCTTGAGGTTACTATCCCACTCGTTATGTTTGTATCACGCCTTGGTCAAAGCCTTTGAGGTTTCCATCCCACTCGTTTCGTTTGCCTCACGCCTTGGTCACAGCCTTTGAGGTTACTATCCCACTCGTTTTGTTTATCTCACGCCTTGGTCACAGCCTTTGAGGTTACTATCCCACTCGTATTGTTTATCTCACGCCTTACTTCTCCCCCTCACAGAATACACTGAAGGATACCATTGAGGACCACTTTGGAACCAAAAACCTTTATCTGACCGCACCGACTTTCTTCTCTCGCATCACAGATAAACCAGCCAAAGTAACTAGTATTGTTGGGCCTGGATGATGCCTTCTGTGTGTATCTACATGCACGTTGGTGTAATTAGTATTATTGGGTCTAAATTCCTTCTCTGTGTATCGACATGCACGTTGGTGTAATTAGTATTATTGGGTCTGGATGATTCCTTCTCTGTGTATCCTACAGGCACGTTGGCGTCAAACTTCGTTCGTATTTTAAAGTTTATTGAGATACGTACCCGCATCGTTTCGAATGATAATATGTTTGTGTGGAGTATATCTTGTTACTCACGTATTCCACCTACACCTACATTTGCCATCAGACGGCCAATGACATCTACTGGATGCCGCACATCGACCGTCGAACGTATGGCTCGTTTGTGTACACGTCACTGGTATACCTGAACGACCAAGGCGTGGACTATGAGGGCGGTGAGTTTCTATTTATAGAACGCGACGATGTCACACCCGGGCAGCAGCGAACCCCAACGGATAGTCCGGATAAGTACTCCCAGAGTATAGTACAGCCCCGAGCCGGTCGTATGAGCTTCTTCACTTCAGGTGGGTGGGTGTATGCTGTGTGTACATATGTGTGTGTGTGGTTTGTAGAGTTTTACCCAAATAGACATCCATGGACTGGGTGCGTCGTGCTAGCAGTGCTTGGCATGTGAAGTGGACGTCGAGGTATGTGAACCTAACCAGTCCGGTAGAGGTAGATGCAACAGTTGTGTTCGACCTTGTAGTAAATAGTGTACCAAGAGATACACTCTCTACATGCTTGTTCATAAGGCCCATACTACAAATCACCGCGCTATGCAGTATCGCAACTTGACGGTCCCAACAAATATCTCTACCGTCCATTCCGGTCCGCCTGTAGTTCTTGAATCCGTCACTCCTTCTAATTATCACTCTCATGAATCAGTTGTATACAAGGATTGCATACATCTACCTCGTGTGGTTCAGCTAGTGCTATCCATAGGAACGCATATAGGTTGTGTGTCCTATACGTTCATTTTCTGCACTTGTGCTAGCAATCTCGCTTCAACGGCCGCTCGCGGGATATGCGCAGTATGTAGTATCTGTACTCTAGGTGAAACCTGAGTGCGACATGCGGTATTACTCTGTGTCCTTGATATTTTTTTTCCTGTATTTACTATATCACCCTTGTTGAAGTATTTTGTCTAAATATTCTATATTGTCCTTGCTTGACATTACATTGTTTATATTGTCTTCCATGACTTTGCTACTATTATTTATCTATATTTTCTATATTGTCCTTGCAGATATACATATTGTCTGTATGTTCTATATTGTCCTTGCTGACATATATCTTATCCATATTTTCTATGTTGTCCTGGCAGACCAATATTTTGTCTGTATATTTTTTGTCTGTATGTTCTATATTGTCCTTGCAAACATACATTTTGTCTGTATGTTCTATATTGTCCTTGCAAACATATATTTTGTCTGTATCTTCTATATTGTCCTTGCTGACATATATTTTGTCTGTATTTCCTATATTATCCTTGCTGACATATATTCTGTCTGTATTTTCTATATTGTCCTTGCTGACATATATTTTGTCTGTATGTTCTATATTGTCCTTGCAAACATATATTTTGTCTGTATGTTCTATATTGTCCTTGCTGACATATATTCTGTCTGTATTTTCTATATTGTCCTTGCTGACATATATTTTGTCTGTATATTCTATATTGTCCTTGCAAACATATATTTTGTCTGTATGTTCCACATTGTCCTTGCTGACATATATTGTTGTCTGTATTTCCTATATTATCCTTGCTGACATATTTTTTGTCTGTATTTTCTATATTGTTCTTGCTGGCAAATATTCTGTCTGTATTTTCCATTGTCCTTGCTGACAAATATTTTCTCTATATTTTCTATATTGTCCTTGCTAACATGTATTTTGTCTGTATTTCCTATATTGTCCTCGCTGACATATATATTGTCTAAATTTTCTATATTGTCCTTGCTAACATATATTTTGTCTGTATTTCCTATATTGTCCTCGCTGACATATATTTTGTCTGTATTTCCTATATTGTTCTGGCTGACATATATTTTGTCTGTATGCTCTATATTGTCCTTGCTGACATGTATATTATCTTTATTTACTATATTATCCTTGCTGACATATATTATGTCTGTATTTTCTATATTGTCCTTGCTGACATATATTTTGTCTATATATTCTATATTGTCCTTGCTGATATATATTTTGTCTGTATGTGCTATATTGGTCTTGCAGACATATATTTTGTTTATATTTTCTATTTGTCCTTGCTGACATATTTTGACTATATTCACTATATTGTCCTTGCTGATATATTTGTCTACCGATATACTGTGCCCAGGGGATGAGAATGAGCATACGGTCAAAATGGTCACGTCAGGCACTCGGTATGTCAGTCCTATTGAGTCGCGCCTGCATATGTACTATCCTCTGCCGATTTTGATATCGTATGTACAGAGATAGTCCTACTGACTTCTATAATCCTTGTTCAGGGTCCTTGTTCGGGGGTGACCTTCTGCAACAAGAGACTATATATCCATGTATGATTCGCATATAGAGAAGTTACAAGTGTTTGGTTTTAGACTGGGGCATCATCTGGCAAGACAATTTGCCACACAATATGCATTTAAGTACTAATAACTCGTTATCTGACACCCTAGGTATGCTGTGACAATCAGTTTTACCTGCGATGAAGCTTCTGCCATTCCCGACCCGACTTTCGAGTAAGCAGCACGCCGCTAGTACTGATTTTTTAATGGACAATGTCTGATGTCTAGCTACATACCAGTATTCTGGGGTACGAATTGCACTTACATATGCAACTTTATTGTGATACATTTGGATGTAAAAAGGACATGCGTTTGTTGGGAATGTGCGCATGCTACTACGCTACTAACAAGGGGCGTATAAGCGCAAATTCTGTACTGACAAGCACAAAGATTGGTTTTGCCATCTCAAAACAAACTGCCCTGAACGGTTTACCTTAGTTTGATCATTAAACTATTACTACACCACTATTGGACTAGCTGTTGCAGTAAGAAACTCAGGTTCACACTATGTAGCGGTACAACAATAGTGGAATAGAATTCATTGTCATAATTGAAACTAGCGACAACAATCGGTGCACGCCTTGCACCACGGGTGAAGGTTTCGTGAAGAAAGTTATAGATGCAACTTCGAAGAAACTACTATTTACCTAAATCCTTTGTTAGGATGGTTTTAATTTTGATGTGGTAATCCACATCAGTACAGGCATGTCGTTCGCCTATATCCAATGCAAACTCGACGAGTATGCACGTTCTAAAAAAATCGTATTCTTCTGTAATAAAAGTTTTTTGGGCCAACCTCCTCAGCTATTGGCCATATGTAACAACGGACAGCGTGTCACGCACACCTCCTCAACGTCTGCTTAATTAAAATTCGGTAGTGCAGTTGGCGCTGGTAATGATGAAGGGCGTCTCGGTGGCGAAGTTGTAGAACCAGGTGCGGGTGTGGTTCTGCACGATTGCTTCATCGGGGCGAGAGATTTGAATGATGTCCAGTAGCACGCGGTCGGCATAGTATACGGCGCTCTCGAACCAGTCTGTATAAATGAATCAAAAGTGTTGCAAATTAAGTGACAATTAAGTTACAGTGCTCCAAAACAAATACATCGCACAATACTGAATGGTACTGTTTAGCCTCCCTTGATTAAGTATTAGCGATGATGAAGATTCGGAAAATGTATAAAGGAGGTGAAGCGGATTGTAAGCAGCAGCTACTTGGCTGACCGAGATCACGAGATGCATACAGCCCATCGTATACATGCTAAGGATTAATTGCAAGTATCCCCACATACAATTTGTAACCAAAATGATGCAGTGAATGTAGATACAGATGCCAGGTGCGCATCTTTGCATTTGATGCATGCTGTTTGCTAAGCATACCTGAGCCATAATTCTCGTTGATTGTTCCCTCGGGACCGAACACGGCGTGGGGGGTGGCCTGCAAGAACTTGTACTCCGCAGCATCAGCTTCTGAGATGTTGTAGGTTGTCATGAAGTATGTGCTGTTCTTGATACCGTAGAAGTAGGACTCATCGATGACCAAATCCGCATCCTTAATTGCGTTATAGAAGTCGGTCTTGTTGTTTTCTAGGTACCTGCCGGCGGGGATGGCCTCGAGATTTGCATCGCGCATGTACTCATGCTTGTAACCAGCATCAACGATTTCCCATTTCTTTCCGTCAATGGCGTAGTCTGGGGCAGGGCCATAGTTGTCGCCCGTGGTGATCCAAGCAACCTTTGGCTTATCACCGGTCACACTAGCCATGGTCTCGTTGTAGCTCATGTAGTTATCTCTGACAATTGCAAAATCATCGGAAGCGATCTTCTCCTTGTTCATTGGTAAGGAAAGATATTCAATCCACTCCGCTCTGTGTAAGACCCCGGGATCGCTGGTGATCCCATCGGTGTAGATGAAGTACTCCTCGGTGTCTTTCTCTGGGTGCATAGATTGAGCGACCATGTGTAGATCCGTAGAATCGATTTGAGCCCGACGCAGCTCGGCGTCATCAGAGAGGGTGTAGTTGCTGGTCTCTCCAATCTTCTGCAGACAAGCAGAGGTAGCATACTGGTAGGTGGACGCTGGGGCATACTTCAGATTCTGAAGGTCTCCCAGGACCTCAAGGAAACGTAGAGGGATAGTTTGGTCGACCGTTAAGGTCCCCAGGGGTACCGGAAAGATAGAGGTACCCATGGTTGGAGCCAGGTTGAGTTCTTCAAGCACTGGCTCCGGGGTTCCGCGCTGGTACATCACGTACGTGTAGTTCGAAAAGCTATCGGTTACTACCTTATAGCTGTTGAAATACTCTACGGACCAGAACGCGGAGTGGTCGGTGGCCACTTTCTCCGGGAAGTAATCCGTATCGGGGTTGTAATCTGGTGGTATATGCAGGACAAGTAGTGTCAATATTTACAATCGATGATTAAAGAAGCATATACAAAATCAATGTGCAAGACACTTTGCTAACACGGTTGTACCACGATGTATGCTTATAGAATGGCACACAGATGCATGCACAACAAATTCATAATTCTTGTTCTTCAACATACCAGTTACAGTGTATGTTGCTTGGTCAACATTCTCAGTCGGTTGGCCTGTGGTTGTGGTAGGCTGAGCATTGGCGCTAAGAGCACCTAGAACGAACAACGCGAGAGGAGCGGAGAAAATGACAGACATGATATCTGCAGAATTTTTTTACATATATAAAGATAACTAAAAGTTACAAGGAGTCTGAAGTATCAGTGTTGACTGTTGTGGCGATAACTACATTCATTTATATACTATTTCACTAAAATATATATATATATATTTTACACGGGCAGACGGCCCGCACGGCCGCACGGGTTGTGCAGTTGTGGTGATTGTGGCGTGGTGGCCTGTGTGCCCAAACCTTGCATCATTCGTTCTTTATGCAAAACTTTTGAAGAAAAAAACTAAAATCTGTGGCATTCTCAAATAATAAATATAAGCAAAACTGTGGCATTCTGATTTAGGTAGTGTTCACGTACTCATCCACTCATAAGTTAAATTGCAGCTTTTAAACTCTTCTTACAAGAATTCGGGACCAATTACAAATGGTATGCACCGAATTCCGAAACACGAGCTTCAAAAACACTAAATGCTCTCCTCCCTAGAGTAAAGCTGAAAACGTTATTGGTTGAAACTTTTACTACAGGTAAGAAAATAAATGAGTAAAACAACATTAAAAACCATAGCCTTCTTCTAAAAACTAAAAACAAACAAGGGCTATTTACGACTTTATGTAAAAACGTTAAACTTTTATAACGCATTTATTTTCGTAGGATGTAGCCATCTGATCGTAAAAGGACGTAGCCATCTGGTCGTAGAGGTTCACTTTTTAGGTGTTTCAAACTTCTGTCCTATTTTTTATCAATATACGTGCCCTTCCACGTGCCGTTTAAAGTGCACACTGCACAGGCGTGACCCGTGAGGCGGCAGCACAACTCAATACACACCTATATTATTTCTTTTTTAAAACAAATACAAACGTGTATATAATTTATTTTTTATTAAAAACAATAGCACTGCTCCTGAGCCTGGTCCGAGATGGGCTTGCGTGGGTCTGCTAAGGAAATTATTAGGAAGACTGGCCCGAGTCCGACTGGGTCACTGAGGTCTGAGACTTGAGAATCTGCGAGTAACTGAGACTCACTAGCTAGGTCCAATCTCTGCAATCAGGCAATCACAGAAGAGTGATACTGTGAAAGCAGTGTGGACTGTGGCCCCATCATATGTATGAGGAGTTGTCACTTGTCACTCGCTCAGAGCTATGAGGCTGTGAGTGAGGGACCGTGACTTACTCCCGTGAGGCTATGTGGCCATGGACCGTGTGCGTAGGCCGTAGGGCGAGGGCGTGGGACTCTGGTCCCTGGGTCATGGGGCTTAGCTGGACCAGGGCCCTGATACATAATATGGTTTTCCGTATTTGTTCATTTTTACAAAAAGAGCAAACGAACGCTAGGTCTCCGACTCCGAGTCATCGACTCCCTCTGGGCGTCGGTGCGAATGAGCATCCCTTTTGTGGTCATTGTAAGCAAACAGATATGATCAGATCCGGAGATTCCCGATTCCAGTGGTTAAAATATAAAAATAAAACTACCAGCAGCTGCCGGTCGCAGGAGTCTCTCTTCTTGCCACTACTGGTAGTCACTAAATCACTTTGTCTATTTATTTACATATTTACTACAACTAGTACTTTAAAAAAATTACTACCAGTAGTAGAGTACAGAGAAGAGTACTACTATTTTATAGGCTCTCTAGCTCTCTAGCTCTCTCTCTAGTAGAGAGAGTAGAGACTAGAGAGTATGTCTACTCTCTCTCTCTCGCTCTTCACTCTCACTCTGTGTACTACTCTACTACGCTAGTTTTAGTTTTGTTGTACGATTAACATCGTAAACTATTCCGAGCCTTTGAGGTAATTGGTCAGCTGTACCCATCGTAGGACAATTATTCTATTGGTTTACTGTATAATAGGTATTTTTATATGTTTGCACTGCATTCTCGGATACCGAGTTCAATTTTATCGCAATTTTATACGATTTCTAGCAGAAATTGTAACCAAAATCGTACGAATGCGGCCATTACCAAATACTGGCGGCAGGCACCCTACGGGTTTTTGGATTCAATTTTTCTAAATAGAAAATATTTTAAAGTTACCTAC